AAAAGCCCCGCCCGCCCACTCCTAATGGCCGCAGGTACTAGTCTTCGACCGTGCCTCAGCCTAAGTGCGTCTGCAGCCTCTGCAGCCTCACAAATCCGACGGCCCCGCCCGCCCACTCCTACTTGCCGCAGGTACTCGTCTCCGACCGCACAAATCCGACGGGTAAGCCTTAACAGGCCCCGACGATATCCGCCTCAGTCTGGTCTGGCCACTGAACAGACTCTGCCACCATCTGCAGCCTCTGCAGATTTTAACAAGGGGTATCGCCTTCTCCTGGCCCAGGCCTCATGACAGTCCATCGCGCCTAGCTGATGAATAGCCTTGGCCTTAGCCGAATTGACCCCTCTTTGCTTTGCCACAAAGTTGGCACACAAAGACCTGCCTCAGGCTCTTCTTAGCACATGCCTTTCACTTCGTCTACGTCTGAGCTCATGTCTCACCAAATGTTTCACCTCGCCTTCGCTTCATCAGCCTCTGGTCAGGCATTATAGTGGCCCATGCTCAAGCGCCACACTAGAGCAGCCCACTCAACAGCTCATTCGAGCACAAGTAGTGGCCTTCATAAGTGTCACTCCTTTTTCACAAAGTCTAGCCCACGGGGGTTTCTTTTTTGAGGCCTCGGCTAGCCTATNNTCCCCTCTGGGGCTAGCCTTGAGCCTTTACAGATGCAACACGGAAAACGAGTGCTAGGTCAAGTGCTAGAGCAGTGCAAGCCTATCTGAACTGGGAAGTTCGGTGCTTGCAGTGTGGCGCTGCGGCACTCTTCGTTGATTGTGCAACGGTTTCCGAAGTTTAGCATGTCTTTTAGCTGGGTTTGGTCTAGCTTCGCCCTGTGGCGAAGGCGTGCCGTGGTGCCTGCAGATATGTGTGCGACTTTCCTTGAGGCAATATTCAGAAGTGCAAAGGCCTCAGGCTTCAACATATTTGGACAGTGATTCAGCGAGGCACCCCGGAGGCATGAGGGGAGGAGTAGAAGGGAGGCGCTAGAGCTTTCCTTGTCTCTCAAACCAACATCCGCTGCAATCAAGGCCTCGGTTCAGCAGTCCCGCACGCGGCCCACCGGTCGCATGCCGAAGCGGTCTTTCGGCAGCTCTCAACCAGCGAAGCCATCTCAACGTGTGGTGCGCTCAAAGCCAGAAGGCCTGAACACAGATGCGGCGTGCTGAGCCACGTTGCTTTTACTCCAGTGGTGAATCATGCGCGTACAGCTGTGGCCTGGGTGACCTGCCCTGTCACTCGGTCCTGAATGTCAGATTCCGAGCAAAGAAGGACGCAGCTGCACATGCAGCAGCAGAGACTAGGCGAGTCTGGGACCTTCAGCCGCGACTCGGGATGGGTGATTTCAGCAGAGGCTTCCGATACATTCCCCATACATCGTGATATATTGTTACATCATCGCACTGACAGAAGACGGCCCTCGCAAGCTGAAACAAGAAGTTGCCGGGTTTCATAAGTGAGGCGGCCCTCACAGCAGTCCACACCCCGCAGATCGCACAACTCGACATCACAAAAGGATTCTGCACTTTGGCGCAGCCATTTCTATCATCAGGGTTTTAGTTGGACGGTGATCCCTACATGTACATTCTACCACCACATTGCGTCAGCAAGCAAATTATGATTACTATGAGAGCATTGAGCATTACCGAGGGTGCGGTCATCATCATGGCATTATCAACGTGGTGATTTCTTCGACCGACGGAGCCTTATGAGCAAGAGGCCGAGTCTCATGAATGAACATCATGAACAGCAGGATTGGCCGGGCCGTGACACGCCTGCGAACGCAGCTGCCATGTTCGTCCCGGCAAGCGTAGATGTTGCCCTCCCAATGATGTTTCTGCTGTGGCCTCTTGGCGGTTCAAGTTTCAGGGAAGGGAAGGAATCCATGACGAAGCACATCTCCATGCACGTCATGCGCCCTCGATGCTTCAGGTTTTGCTGGGGGATCTGGCCATCTGCCAGGAAAAAAGGCGGGTCTACGACGATCAATTTTGCTTTGACGCATCTGGGCTTGGGTTTAGAATCTGTAAGTCGCATGCTGTGCTGGCATCTCAATGCGATCCTTGTGCTCAGGTATGTTTGTTTCCAGGTGCTCTCATCCTTCTTTCTCTGCTTCACCCTCGGCATGGCAAATCCTCAGAACACACTGCATTTCGTCAGGATCTGAGATGCTTTTCAGCCGACTTCTGGAGAGTGCCTGAACCCACCCTCGACTCTGAAAGGATGCTCGGCAATTCCATGCCGTTTTTGCCAGCGAGCTGTCGGAGACCCCTGTCTGCACGCATCACTTTCAGATGTTTTGTTGTGAACGTGGGTTTCGTGTCACTGTAGAAGATGTCTAGGTGCGATCATCGAACACTATAGACATAGCCATCGGCACGCTGCTACTTCGCTATTACCACGATCCACGCTTGTACTGGTTTTAAACATCTGATGCCACTGCGACGACGGCTGCAACTGCTGCTGCTGCTGCTGCTGCTGCTGCTACCAAGCAAACCTGTGCTCCCGCTACTCCTACTCCTATTCCAGCTTCTACGCCTACTACTACTGCTGCTGCGTCTCCTGCAGCTACTACTAGTACGAGTAGTAGTACTACTGCTACTACTTCCTCCTGCTCCTCCTGCTCGCGCTCGACTGCTGCTACTCCTATTGCGTCATCATCATCATCGTCATCATCGTCATCATCATCATCATCAGCATCACCATTCCTCAGCGGCAGCTGTCCACCCCTTTGGCGTGAGGATACCGGATTCCGGTCAGTGGACGCATTCTTTTTCCGCGAAAAGCCCTTGGGATGCCGTGAAATCGTTAACAGGGGAACTGAGATGTCCCTACACTGTACGACAATCAACCGGACCAGTAATATCAGTGAATGTCCTGCCACCCAATGAGCGGTGAGCTCCCATCAGTGTTCACATTTTCGGGTAGAAATCGTGAGTGCAAGCCCATCCCGCTGTAATAAAGGTTCAGACGTCCTAATGAAATCACGAGCTGAAGTCAGGAGCAGATCACATTGGCCAACATTTGTTCCATCGCGCGCGAAGGCTCATCCGAAGGCAACCATTCCAATGAGCCCAGCTTGACTTCGACCGGATTCGGCTCCAGCAAGGGGAATGCGACACACTGCGGCAGCTGCCAGTGTCCGACATGACAAAACCAGCATGCATGAATAACTTTGCGGCCGCGCAGTCAAACAGAGTGCTCGCGGACGGTGGGTACACTCGGATGGGGCTCTGTGAGCACCTAAGACTTCAACGCTGGTCCAAGTATTACAGGATGCGTCATCATCATCATCATCGTCGTCATCATCATCATCATCATTATCATCATTGAATTACGAGCCCCAAGCTGTTTCTTTATAGATATTTACAGGATAAGATTATGCATTACAAGCAATAGCAGTTGTGTCCATGCCTGCTCCAGACATAGAAACTCATGATAGTGCTTCTGTTCGTACGAATCCAGCACACTGATGTCCACGCGTGTCAGTTTTGCAGTTGATTCTGCTTGTTGTTCTTGTTGTCGTTGTTGGATTTTGTCTCGGTGGCGGTGTTGTGCGGTGCTGTCAGTGTTGGTGTTGTTGCTCGTGTTGGTTCCTGCAAGGGTGGCGGTGTTTGTTGTGCAGTTACTGTCATTGTGCTTGCTACGTTGTCGTGGTTGTGTTGTTTTCTCTCCGCCACAGACTATCACCAGAACTCCGAACATTATTTTTCTGTTTTTTTGGATGGTGGGAGATCATGCTGCAAGCACGATAATGGTGGTGATGATGATGGTGGGGCTGTGTTACCTTTTCCAGATTCCGGCACTGTCGTCCCGAAGCCGAGGAACTCTCCCGCGGTGCTCATTGCCCTTTTGGGCGGTCTCTTGCTTTGCTCCGGTGATTTCATCATGGCGAAAGCTATCGAAGTGCCACCAGACATAAGCTGCTTTGGACCATTCCCTACAACCTGCGTCAATACTCATACAGGCTCCGATTCACCCTCCTTACGAGCTTCGACCTGAGGACAGGGATTTGGGGCTGGTCGTTTTCTGGCCTTTAGCTGCTACTTGTCAGACGCCAAGTCTGATAGAAGGCTACTTTCTGCTACTATGTACTACATCTTTGGTCTGACCTGTTTCCTCCCCGTGACTCGCCGGAAGGAGCCAAACCCTAAACGCTAAACCCTAAACCCTATACCCTAAACTCCGAAAAACACTTCAACCTGGGGCCCTCACTCCGAGCAGCAGGGCTGCTGCCTGCGACGATAGTTTTTTATTTTTCTTTAAATGTGTGTCTTAGATCATGTTCGTTGTCCTGCTGTTTTGCTACGCGCAAGCCTTGAATCCAAAACCCAGTACCCGAACCCTCAAAACCCAAAGCCCTGGACGGTGAGATTTGAAACCCAAAGTCCTTAACCCTAAACCCTAGCTTCCCCAGCAGTAGCCTTTTGCACTTTTTCTTTGTGGGTTCCCTTGTTTGAACCTAATACTAGGAAAAGAGTACACAACGTCAAAGGCAGGCCCCATGACGTGGTTTTGAGTAGGAAAAAGGATACCCTCGTTATTAACGGGCTACTGGGCAGCCTAGAACCCTACGATCCTGAAGTCCATGAAGCCCGTAAACCTTAAACCCCTAAAGCCGGCTCAGGCTTGGCTTATCTGTCGCATGCCCCATTGGCAGCGGCCTCAGCACAGAAGCAGCACAATGGTTGCCAACACAACATTCCTTCAACATCTCTAGAGTATGCTTTGGTTATTTTCGACCCCGGCACCCCATTTTATTTATGAAGGGGCTGTTGAAGCGCAGGGCTCAGGGAGTCCTGCTGTTCATCCCGACCGGTAGGAGGACAGATGAGCGACATCTCAGAGAGTGCGACTATCGGGGTTTCCGGGGTATGACGGACAGCAAAATCCGAGATGCCAACATGCGTTAACCTATCCCACGTGGAGACGGGAATCCCTGCTGTCATCCACAAAGACGAGGTTTTGGGACTGCAATGGTCTTCGGCACTGCCCTCAGCTACTTTCTCGATTCCGGGCCAAAAGCCGAATCCACGCTGCAAAAGTACAATTTTGGGTTTAGGAGATTGTGGGATGTTGCTGTCGGTAGTAGCTAGGTCTGTTGAGTTTTCGAGTTTTGGAGATCCTCTGCCTCAAAGATTCCAAGCAAGGATGCAAGGCTGCTCTTTCCTGGACTTGGTGCCTGCCTTCTAGGAAATGTCTGCGACTTGGACTGCAAATCTGCTCCGCAGAGCAGTGCAATTGAGCTCGGATTCTGGTAGTTGGGAACGGGCACGAATAAGATTCTGTAAAGATGACTCCCCTACGTAAGCTACCGTCAGAGTCAGGGATGGAACAGCCTTGCTGCAGCGGGACATGGCAGTTTTAGGATTCTGTGGAAGTGTCATATTACGGCCACTGCTGGGGACACAAATCATGGAGTCTTGTACTTGTGACTTTATGAGTTATCTTCTTGAGAGTAGCCAATGCGTGTTTGCATGTTGCGTGTTCCTTATCCATGCACATGCACGTGCTTCTGTGTCTGCACCGATAAACGTATTAGCCTTCCATGCGCTGTCGTGTGTAGGCGTAGATGCTTGTGCAGGTGTCTGTGCCTGCTTTTGCGGCACTCTTAGTGCGAAAGCTGCGGCAGTGTTGCTAGGTACTGTTAGTTGTTTCAAGCATTTCAAGCCGGATACGAGAACAAAGAGGGAACTTATCATAATTTCTGTGCAGCAGTGAGCCAGGTGGCCAAGCAGGCCAGACCTAAATAGGACATGTTCATGGACATGTCTTCGTGTCCGTCGTAGCATACGCGCGACCGGACCCGGGATCCGGCAAGCTCTGCCTGCAAGGCAACGCCGCTTCTGCATGGGACGTGTCGTGCATCCGGGAAGGCATTGAGCTTTGTGCGCCAGGGGTCGAGGGCAGTCAAGACACACTTTGCCGTCATTTGGCAGTTTGGCAGTTGAGTTGAGGTCTCCTTAGTTCGCCATTTTGAATCCTCATCTCCCGGTCAAGCATTACACAACAAACTTGTTTGTCCATGGATGTTTAGCATGCCTTGAGTTCTGGAGTGAGATCCACTGATGGAAGACTTCGGACTTGGTACAGAGCCGAATTCGGCCAATACCCTAAACGCTGAAGTCTCCATCTTGATTGTACAAAAAGACGCACTCGAGAACAATCAACGTTTATGTCCTCATTGCGTTGGCAAAGCAGGGACGCAAGGAGCGGTGCCTATCCCCAACCTGGTTCAGCTGTCTGCTTTCCTTTAGGATGTGTTTCCGTGCCGCCGGCAAGGCACTCCCTGTGTCCGTTACGTTTAAACAGGTTTCGCACAGATTGCAACACATTGTTGGTGTTCCTCGTATCACCACTACTCCTGTTAAACTATGACGGTTGTCGCTGTCATTATCATCATCATCATCATCACCACCCATAAGGAACCCCAAGGCACGTACGTACATACCCCACCTCTTGTTAATTTTTCTCCGGGTAGGTGCAAAAAACGGGGGAATTACTTTCATTTTGATGGTGAAGGTTACCCGAGTTCTTCCCAGTCATGCCAATCATTTGACTCGTTTCTTTTTTTCGGACGCTGTACCAGCATTCCCACCTGACTGCATTTGAACTAGGGCTTGAAGGCTTTGGGGTGTAATGTAAGGCTTGGATCAAGGTACCTTGCGTTCGGCACAAACACGAAGGCAATTGATATTTCCAAGCCGCACACCTCTTTCGCTTTCATGGTTGAACTCAATTGATTAACAAGTTCTCGGCCAAACTTTGAAGCTTGAACTTAACACTCCAAGCCCGGACCTTACCTCCGCTAAGATGGTAGTTTCACATCCAAGCGAGAGGCCGTAGTCGGCCATAGTCACAGGCAGAAGCGACAACACAGTTGTCGGCAGGCTTTGGCAACACCCGGTCAAAACGCCAGATCTCCACTCTGCAACCGGGAGGGCATGACGAAGCGCTTGGTGGCAGCTCCGAAGAAGAAGTTTGCAGGATATGCCTGTCTGCTATGTGCAGCCTAGTTTAGATTTGCTATGATGCTCTACAAGCACAAAGATGACCGAAGACTCAGGCAATCCGCTGGATGCTGGGACATATCCCGTGAAGAGCATCAGTTGGCTGGAGCCGGAGGCCTGGTGTCTTCAAGGTGTCTTTGTGCTGTTTCGTGCTCTCAGGGGCTTGAGGGGCTTTAGTTTGGGATTGTCCGATCCTTGCTGGGGCCTTGGGACGCCAGGCGGAGGATCCTTCTCCCGAGCTTGTGGATGAGGTGCCCGATGAGGCATTCTGGGTCTGGAGCCCGGACGCAGACTTCTGGAGTCCGGACCTGCCATCTGGGCCTGAGCCTCCAAACCCAATCGAAAAGCCAAGCGACAACGCAGATCTCACAGAGACAAGCGCGCACAACACGGACGAGGTCGTAGAATCGAACGAACCTCAGTGCGTGCCCTTGGCAGCCATGGTCTTCTTTTGAACAGTGGCTTGTTTGATACGACAAATTGCAGACAAGTAACTTCACTAGCGATATGTGAACGAAACGAGTTTCATGGTGGCTAAAGGGATGAAATCGGGAAACATGGCCGGAAGATAGACGGGATTGTGGCAGACTTGCCATTCCTTTAGTTACTGCTGCGTTCAGGTGGTGAGGTTTCTTTTTGGTTCGCCGCTGAAAGCTCAAGCTGTGCACCCGAATCGGTTCTGGGCATCCCCCGAGATGAAAAGGGGACAAAGCGATGAACAGCATCCGGACTTTGCCACTGCACGACATGTGCTTGGTTTCTGGGTTTCCAAGTTTCGGGTTAAAGCCGGAATACAAGATCCCAGAACCCTCAACTCTCCCCTCGGCGCCCGAAGGTGCAGGTCGTGTCAACGGTGTTTGAGTCCGAGAGCTCCAAGTATAAGCGGAGCCTGCACAAGCGTAGCGCGGCCAACTGGGACTTGGACGAGCTGGAGACTCACAGCGCTGCCGCCTTCCTCATACCAATTGCTGCAGGTGCCCAGGCCCAAGCTGATGTTCAGTGCCTCCCTGCATGCCAGGCTTTGGTGATTTGTTAACGAAATCTAGACTCCAGCTGCCCCGAAGCGAATGTGTAGATTCATGTTCACAGTGCCGTCTTTCATTCGTAGAGGTCCAAGGCATATCCAGGAAGACCCAAGTTGTGGGTTTCATGGGTACAGAGTCAGGAAAGAGTCCCAGGCATCGAGATCGAGGGTGCGAGCTCTCTTCGGCCCTCAATCCCTCTAGAGCGTTTGGGGTCCATGGAGGTGCCAAGTTTGTGGCGTGTAAAGGCGCACGCAGGCTTCTGTGACAGTACCATTGTGGACATCGTGAGTACCCAGCGGAAGAGGATGATGGTACGATTGTGACAGGTGTAGGTAGGTAGGTGGGTGTGTGAGAGAGAAGTCTAGTTCTGGTCGTGGGCATGACTCTGCTTCTATTGTCGTGATTCATGACACTAGAGAGTACGGCTGTTCTGATGAGGATGGTTTTTGTATTTATTATAACACGGATGCAGTAGAAGAGTGTAACTCGAGACTCGCACTGGCAAAAGTGCAGTATCAGAATCCTTGTGATGATAGCAGCGGCGATGCTGAATGCCGAGGACGACGACGATCATTATTTTTTGTCTTGTGTTACCGTTGCTGTTGCTGTTGCGGTTGCTGTGGTTGCTGTGGTTGCTGTGGTTGCTGTGGTTGTTGT